CCAGCTAATTTTTGTATTTTTAGTAGAGATGAGGTTTCACCATGTTGGCCAGGCTGGTCTCGAACTCCTGACCTCAGGTGCTCCACCCGCCTTGGCTTCCCAAAGTGCTAGGATTCAGAGGACATTTTTGCAAGGGGACGAAAATTCACGTGGCCCTTTTGATGGAAAAGAACATTTCTTCTGAGCTGCAGCAGCCCTCGTGAAACAGACTTAGGCCTTCCTCTGGGAATAAGGCCTGTCATATTTGCATGCCTCCGAGAGAAATACACAAGCTGGCTGCTCATCTGGGTGGCTGTTTGCAGTCTAGTCATTGTCCCTTTGAACCAGCTGTAAGCCCCATGCATTCCTGAATGCCAAGATAGGAAGGGAGGATTTTCTCCTTCTGGATCCAAAAAGGCACCCAGGGGGAGGGAAGGAAGGAAGGAAGGAAGGAAGGAAAAGAAAGATTGATTCTTGGGCCCAGACCTGCAGAATGTGCAGGATGGGTGGGAAGATGAGAAGAGAGCATGCAGGCTGGCAGAACAGAGTAAACTGAGATTCCGGCAGGGATGAGCATGGGAGAGGGTAAAGAAACACCCAGGTGGCCCAGGAGGGCTCAGGAGTACCCACCTCCCAGGGTCAGCTGCCCTCTGGTTGTTGGATGCAGCAGCCCTCTGAAGATGGGGCACAGATATAAACACTTCCACCCTTGGAACCGCTCCCAAACCCAGGACTGTATGTCCCCAGTTGCACCCATTTGCCCCAGATAGTCCCAGTTTACTCCTGATGTTCCAGCATCCCTTCAGGTTAGTGTCCCTTTTCAAAAGCATACTGGTAGAGATGATCAATTATACGGCCACCTTACTCAAAGCCTACCTTATGTAGGCTGACATTGTAGATTACTCTGCCTCCCTATCAACCAACTCCAAATCCCATTTTCCTCTCTTTGGTAGAAGGGCACTTAGAGACTGAGTTACACATACTGACTTAATGTCCCACTCCGTTATTGGTAGCATAAGCTGCGTCTAGTGTCTTTCTGATGAAAAAATCCCCAATTAAAAAAAATTTTGACCTGGCTTAATGAGTAGCTTTAACGACCAAATCCAATGGGCTGCATATGTGACATGATAAAGCAGACACATACAGTGTTAAACAGAGTCCAGAAATTGCATATTCCAAATCTCTAAGTGGCTTGTATTCCACTAGAAACCAACTAAAAATGAGAGGAAAATGTGGTATTTCAAAGAAATGCAAATACTACCTAGCTAGGCACTCAGAAGGCTGTTAGGTACAAACAAATGCTCTTAAGTAATTAAAGTCTACAGTGTTAGACAAGTGCCTCAATAAACACACCTTCTACCACCTTTTACATGGAAATGCGAATGCTTATTTACATTTACTTTCAGATTTAAGGATGAACAGATGTCTTGAGGCCCTTCTGAGAATGAAAATGGCTTATATAAATCCTTCAAATCAAAACATTTTAGGCCATCACAAACTTCCTATTTAATTCTATTGCCAATTCAAAATATCGATGTGGTTTTACTTCAGGTTTATGTAAAGCGGAGACTGAAGGCCACTGGTCCTACCTGATGCATTTTCAATACTCAGGTTGCTTTTACTGCTGTAGCAACTTTGCAGGAACTATATTAAAGGGTTTTCTGCAGAACCGAGGTTTACCGAATGGAAAGGATTCCTTTAATGAGGTATTTGGAAGTTAAAAAATACTTTCAGAAAATTTGGTATGATATCACAATTACTTCATCACATTTGAATTATGTTTAAATGGGAAGCTGAAGCTATAGCATATGTGGCAATGTTTACTTGAAGGTTTCTTTTCATTTATTTAAACTTAGCAACTAGTTTAAATACTAGACCATATTTGCAAACTAACCTTTTTGTCATTGGAGCTGTTTGGTAGATTTGGTGAGGTGAGCTTTGAGTTCCTACTATGTGCAAGACCCTGTGATAGCTACTAAATGAGGATAAAATACCATTTTATTTTTTTATTTTTATTTGTATTACTTTTTTGAGACAGGGTCTCGCTCTGTCACTCAGGCTAGAGTGCAGTGGCGTCATCACGGCTTACTGCAGCCTTGACATCCCAAGCCTCAAGAGATTCTCCTACCTCAGCCTCCCGAGTAGCTGGGACCACAGGTGTGCATCACCATGTCCAGTTAATTTTTACAATGTTTGTAGAGATGAGGTCTCACCATCTTTCCCAGGCTGGTCTCAGACTCTGGGGCTCAAGCCAGCCTCCTATCTCAGCTTCCTGAATAGCTGGGATCACATGTGTGTGTCACCATGCCCAGCTAATTTTTTTTTTTTTTTTGTAGATATGAGGTGTTACTACGTTGCCCGGGATAAGATGCCTTTTTTTTTTTTTTTTTTTTTTTTTTTTTTTTTTTTGAGAGTCTCCTCTCACTCTGTCACCCAGGCTGAAGTGCAGTGGCACAATCTTGGCTCGCTGCAACTTCTGCTTCCCGAGTTCAAGTGATTCTTGTGCCTTAGCCTCCTGAGTAGCTGGGACTACAGGCACATGCCACCATGCCCAGATACTTTTTTTGTATTTTTAGTAGAGACAGAGTTTCGCCATGTTGGCCAGACAGGTCTCGAACTCCTGGCCTCAAGTGATCCGCCCACCTTAATGCCATTTTAAAAGGACTCACAGAAGTGGCCATTGAGATAGTCCTTAAAAGATCACAGGGTTTTAACAGGAAGAAAAATGCGGTAGGGGGTGAGAAGAGTGAAAAGAATTTCAGGCATAAAGAACAGTTGAAGTAACGGTTCACGGGAAGACAGTGTGAGAGGTGCAGAAACAAGGTGAGCATTTGTTGGGTTGGATGATGAGCGAGATTAGGTTACAGGAGATACTAGAGTTGATTCATGGTGTATAGCAAGTTTGCATCTTGTTTTGAAAGTCTCTGGGCAAGTCAGTGGCATGATTAAATCTCTGCTTGTAGATCTGAACTGGAATTGGGAAAAGTTAGAGGCAAACACAGGAGGATTTTGCAATTGTTCAAATAAAGTAATAATACGGAGGCTGGGCGAGGTGGTTCATGCCTGTAATTCCAGTGCTTTGAGAGGCCAAGGCAAGAGGATCACTAGAGGCCAGGAGTTCGAGGCCAGCCTGGGCGACAGTGTGAGATCCTACACAGTGTGAGTTTCTACACATACACACAAAAAAAGAGAAGAAGTTTTTTTGAGATGGGGTCTCATGCTGTTGCCCAGGCTGGAGTGCAGTGGTGTGATCATGCATAGCTCACTGCAGCCTCAACCTCCCAGGCTCAAGCAGTCCTCCCACCTCAGCCCCCCAAGTAGCTGGCACCACAGGCACGCACCACCACACCCAGCCAGTTTTTTGTTGTTTTTTTTTTAATTTTGTAGAGACATGGTCTCCCTAGGTTGCCCAGGCTGAGTCTTGAACTCTTGAGCTCAGGCAATCCTCCCACCTTGGCCTCCTAAAGTGCTGGGATTACAGGGGTAAGCCACCATGCCCGGCCAGAATTGTTTTTTAGTTACCCAGGTGTGGTGGAGTGTACCTGTAGTTCTAGCTACTTGGGAGGCTGAGGGAGGAGTATTGCTTGAGCCCAGGAGTTCGAGATTACAGTGAGCTATCATGGTGCCACTGCACTCCAGCCTGGGTGACAGAATGAGACCCTGTCTCTAAAGTAAATAAATAAATAATGTGGTTGCAAGCTAGGATAGCAGTAGGAAGAAGACAGAGAAGGGATGAATTTTTTAAAATCATTCAAATCCCTAAGACTTGGCAGCTCTTTGTATGTGAAGAGCTGCAGGGAGGGGGCGGTCCAATAACTCCAAGGCTTTGAGCCTGGACTGTGGGGAGATGCTGGAACCATCAGGATAAACCTAGGCCATAGATGCAGGTTCAGGGTGGCCTGAAATGTGCTTGGTCAGTCCTGGACATCCTGAGCCTGAGGTACAGGGGGATAACCATGGGGAGAAGTGTGAACACGTCTGTGTAACCCACAAAATGTTCATGATGTTAGGTAACCATTTGTCAAATGAACACAGGAAGAAGTGAGGAAGGAAGGGAAAGAGAAGGAAAAGGGAGGCGCTTCCCAGTAGGCAGTTGGATATGCAGACCTGTGCCTCAGGAGAGAAGCGTGTGTGGGGGCCACAAAGAGGGGGTGAGTGGGTGAGAGAATGACACAGAGCAGAGGCTGAAGGTGGAGGTGTCAGGCACAGGCACATCAGGGGCCAAGAGGAAGACAAAAAGTCAGAACAGAAACAGGGATACAGAACCAAGAACCAAGGAGTGGCAGAATTCTGAAATCTAAGAAGGCAGCCATCTCCAAATAAAAAGGGTCAGAGGTCAAAACACAGAAAAAGTCACTAGAGTTGGCACCTTGGAGTTCATTACTGAGCACTAATGATGGGCTGTGTTTGATGCTCAGAGCTTTACCTGCCTTTCACTTCACATCCACCCTGTGAGGTAGGCATTGCTGTTAGACTATGCTAGGAGGCTTAGATCTGTTCACTGACTTCCCCAAAGTCACGCTTCCAGGAAGCGGAGGGCAGAAATCCTAAGCCAGTTAGGTGTCACCCCAAAACCTGTAACCCTCACACACTTGGCTGTGTGCTTCAGTACGGTGCTGGGGGTAGAAGCCAGATCTCAGGGGCTAGAAAAGCGAACGGGATGGAAACTCACATTTAATCTATGTTTGCTGTGGGCCCAGAACCGAGCTCAGTGCTATATGTGAACGTAGACAACAGATAGTGAAAATGGGGAGTGGGGGGGTGACAGCTGGGGGAAGCAGAATGGTGGCTTTTTCAAGAAGGGGCAGGAGGGACCCTGTCATTCTGGGTCCTCTGCTAGATCATGGAAATCATTTCATCATACAGAAACCTGCATTAAAATGATCCTCTTTAAACTAGGATTTTATCACTATAACAGAATGTAGTAACTTGCTATCCCCTTTCTTAATACAGATGAACAGAGCTACTTCCTGTTTTTGATATATGGGTATTAAGTATTCAGGCATTAGAATGGTACATACTTTTTTGAGTTTCTTGCTTTTTTCTGTTGAGAGTATGATATTTCCTTGCAAAATGATATTAAGCTCTGCATCATGGGAAACAAAAGGAAAATAGGCCATGAGAACATTTGAGCTAGCAAACAGAATAAACGTCAATCATCAGGGTGAATTCTCTCAATCAGAGGACATTTTTGCAAGGGGACGAAAATTCACGTGGCCCTTTTGATGGAAAAGAACATTTCTTCTGAGCTGCAGCAGCCCTCGTGAAACAGACTTAGGCCTTCCTCTGGGAATAAGGCCTGTCATATTTGCATGCCTCCGAGAGAAATACACAAGCTGGCTGCTCATCTGGGTGGCTGTTTGCAGTCTAGTCATTGTCCCTTTGAACCAGCTGTAAGCCCCATGCATTCCTGAATGCCAAGATAGGAAGGGAGGATTTTCTCCTTCTGGATCCAAAAAGGCACCCAGGGAAGGCAAGGCCAGACCTGTGCTAAAAGCCTTTAAAATCGGGGGAACTGCTGGGGACAGAAAAGGATGTTGTTAATTAGCCTGCAAAGAAGCATTTTGATAAACCTGAAGGAATGGTGGAGTTACACATCCATTTTAAATGAGCTCTCCAAGTCAAAAATATTTGGAAAGTTTGGGCTGGGCGCAGTGGCTCAAGCCTGTAATCCCAGCACTTTGGGAGGCTGAGGCGGGTGGATCACGAGGTCAGGAGATCGAGACCATCCTGGCTAACACGGTGAAACCTGGTCTATACTAAAAACACAAAAAATTAGCCGGGCGTGGTGGGCGCCTGTAGTCCCAGGTACTCAGGAGGCTGAGGCAGGAGAAAGGTATGAACCCTGGAGGAGGAGCTTGCAGTGAGCCAAGATCATGCCACTGCACTCCAGCCTGGAAGACAGACTCTGTCTCAAAAAAAAAAAAAAAAAAAATTGGAAAGTTTGAAAGCAGTTAGATAATTAAAGTTATGTCTGCCCACCGACAAGACAGTCAATGAGTGAAAATGAGAAAAATCAAACCCACTGATTGTTTGGATGACCTCATGCTCAGCCTCAGGTCTAGGGCTCCCTGCACCTCCCCCCCCACTACAAGCCCATTCCAGGACTAGGTGTTTCCATGAAAGGAGAAGGCTGAGTCCATAGGATGCCCCACTCCAGTTCATTACAACTCCTCCACTCTAATGGTACCAGTGGCTATGAGACTTTTCTAATGAACAAATTCAAATATCTGGTTCAAACCTAACTTGGCGAACTAGGTTTGCTGCGTGTGGCAACCACAGAATTGCATTACAAAGGTAGGACTGAATCAGCACTTCCACCTCGACCTGATGGCCCGTAGCTGGCTTAGATCAGGGAGGTACAATCTAAAGCAGTGGCAAACCTTACAAACGGAAGGACCAATTCTCTCCTAGCCCTAGCATCAACGCAATTCTGTGGAGGGCTACATGCTGGGACCCAGGATAGCGGGGACTGAGACCACAACAGCTTGGTTTTATAGCTTTAACCTGAAGTCCTGGGCAGTCGTGAGCAGTTTTGAGATCTTAAACCTGGCACTGCTTTTCACCAGAGTGCTGGTTTGGTCTCTTGAGCCCCTCCCCAGGGCAGGAAACAGAAGCAGGCTTGGATCTGGGACAGGACTCTGAACACAATCTACAACCAGGACAGGCCTCGGGTAGCCACTTTCCCTGAGGTACCCCCATGCTAACTGCCTGCTCAAGGGCCAGTGAAGTTTATCCCTAAACCTTGCCATCCTTTTCTAGTGAGGCCAGCAGTGTTAACCCCTGGGGAAAGCTTTCAGTATCTGTGCCACCTCCAATGTCGGGATAAGGGGATTTTTCAGAGGGCCCCAGGCACTTGCATGGTTTATCCAGTTTTTAATTTGAACTGTATGATACTGTCCTTATTTTGTAGATCAGACAGGATAAAAAAAATGCAATGTGTTCATCCTCACAATAGAAATTATGAGAAAAATGTAGGGTATGGAGTGGAAAGAGCCACATTTGGAAAGCCAGACTGGGTACAAATCTCAGTTCTCTCACTTTCTTTCATCCAACAAACATACACTGAGTTCCGGTATGTGCCTGGAACTGTTCCAGGAGCTGGACACAGAATGGTGATGAAGACAGATTGGTCCTGCTCTGCATGGCCCATGCTAACGCATGCTTATCTTCTGGGGCTGCTTCTGAGCTCAGTGATGCTGGGCCAGTCACTTGGCCTCTCTGAGCTTCTGCCAAGTGCTGTGAGAGTTAAATGGGACGATGGGCATTTGGCCCAGGTTGCACTGGTGGCCTTCAATAAATGGTAGTTCCTGTTATTTTACTGTGGCTCATAGAGAACTCCTGATAAATATTTGTTGAATGGAAACGCCTTGGAATGTACTGTGGGAATCTCCAAGCCCTTCCCCTAAGATCCCTGAAGCTAGAAACCACTGCAGGAGAATGGTGTACCGGAGCAGAGGCCACTGTCAGCAAAGCCCAGAGATCCTGGAGACCCTGGTTCCCTGCACATTCTGTGACCTGAAAGAGACCAGCTGCTGTCAGTTGTCATATAAATCAGGAGGGCAGTCAGCATAGGAGGGGTTTCAAGGAGGTATAATCTGGTTCATCTTTTTTTTTTTTTTTTTTTTTGACAGAGTCTTGCTGTGTCCACTGGGCTGGAGTACAGTGGTATGATCTTGGCTCACTGCAACCTCTGCCTCCCTGGTTCAAGTGATTCTCCTGCCTCAGCCTCCCAGGTAGCTGGGATTAAAGGTGTGTCCACGACCAGCTAATTTTTGTATTTTTAGTAGAGATGAGGTTTCACCATGTTGGCCAGGCTGGTCTCGAACTCCTGACCTCAGGTGCTCCACCCGCCTTGGCTTCCCAAAGTGCTAGGATTACATGTAGGTGGGAGCCATCACTGTGGTTCATCCTTCTTAATAGGCATAAAATCATTTAATCCCCCCAAAATAATGGTCAGATTTATCAACTGAAGGAAAGCAGAGGTTGAGACCTCAAAGGAGGCCCAAAATTTACCTGTAGGAATTTCTGATTTTAAGGCATCACCACACATTTGGCTCTAGTTAGTAAAAGGACATGCACGTTGAGCAGTCATTCCCTCAACTTGCCACCCAGTCAAGTCACTGGCGTGAATACAGATGTGAAGTTACAGATTCCTTTTACAGCCCAGGGGCCTATTTTCCAGGCTCTCTGTGCAAAGAGGCCACATGGCTATTTCACGGGTCAGGCTGCACACCGTTTAAACTTGCATAAATCATGCCGGACAAGGTATTAACAAGTGCAAAGTTGCTATCTAGCAGTACAGCTTATGACAGTACCTTCGCTGTCATCACTGTCCTGAGCTCCGTCCAGCTCTCTGGGTCCATTCATCACAGGTGGTGCACAGGGAGGTGAGACCAACAATTGTACTAACTTTTTTTCATACAACTTTCTGGTGGAAGCTGAGGAAGAATTTGGAGAACAAATTAAATTGTTCTTTTTTTTTTTATATGAGCCTACTGGGTTCAAGGTATTTCATAATTCAGATTTTTATTCTTATCCCTTACATTATTGGTTAATTATGGCTTTTTTTTTTTTGAGACAAGGTCTCACTCTGCCTCCCAAGCTGGAGTGCAGTAGCATGATCTCAGCTCACTGAAGCCTCTGCCTCCCAGATTCAAGCGATTCTCCTGCCTCAGCCCCTCCGGCAGCTGGGACCACAGGTGTGCGCCACTACACTCGGCTAATTTTTGTATTTTTAGTAGAGATGGGTTTTGCTATGTTGGCCAGGCTGGTCTTGAACTCCTGACCTCAAGTGATCCACCCGCCTCGGCCTCCCAGTGCTGAGATTCTAGGTATGAGCCACTGCGCCCTGCCCAATTATGGCTTTTTAAACGAGGTAGACTCGCAGCTGTTCAACTCCTTCCTTCGTTTCCACAAACACTTAGGTGATACCTGTATGGATTAACCACAGAGTCAGGCATTGGACACATCTGAGAAGACAGACAAGGCTGTGCATCCTATCTATGGGGAATATAGATAATAAATAAATAGCTAACAAGGTCTACATACTAAAAACAAAACAAAAAAATTGAACCACATAATAAAGAGTAACTGGTTTTTCACTGATGAAAAACACCCAATCCATGGGCTGGGTGTGGTGGCTCACACCTGTAATTCCAGCACTTTGGGAGGCCAAGGCAGGTGGATTACTTGAGGTCAGAAGTTCGAGACAAGCCTGACCAACATGGTGAAATCCCGTCTCTGCAAAATACAAAATCATTAGCTCGATGTGGTGGTGTATTCCTGTAATCCCAGCTGCTTGGGAGGCTAAGGCAGGAGAATCCCTTGAATCTGGGAGGCAGAGGTTGCAGTAAGACAAACACCCAATCCTAATCTGTAAATAGGATTTGGGTATATTTATTGCCTCTTCCCTCTTGTGGTTTTCTGTTTTCTCTATGTTCCTATTTCTATTTTAATGGTTTTATTGCGTATGTTCCTTCTATTGTAAGTTGTTTATAAACCATAAATGACAAGTCTCTAATATTTGCTGCATACTGTACGTACGTAGTATTGGGCCAGGTGAAAATCCAAGCTTCTCAAGTTGGTTCTGCAATTTACAGTCACTCAGACACTTCACATCCACCATGGTGATAGAAGTTTGGCCTCTTTTCTGATGGTAGAATCCTTGAAATAGGAAAACATTAAATGCATTAAGACAACCTTACAAATAAGTACTAAAATGTTACCAATCCACGTAAGTGTTTATAACCCTATCTCCCCAACCTCCTAGGTGCACAGGCAATAAAGCAAAAATCAGCACTTTCTACTTCTGCCATAAATCCCTGCTGGGATTAGTTGCCTCCATTGTAAAACTTTGGATGGGTGTCATTTTCCCCAGTGTCTTTAGGGCTCAATTATTTATAACTGTTCTGTTCAATGAATATGAGAAAAATCTTCTGGACAAAATAAATAGATATTTCCATTACTGCTCAGGAACTCTGAGTAAAACTCAAGCTCTGAGAAGATAAGAACTTAATTAAATATGAAAGAGCTGAGAGGTTTTTTTTTTTTTTTTTGAGTTAAATAAAAGTTATTTATCCCTGCCCTCCTTTTGATGACAGGACAGAGAGTACAGAGCATTCAGTTATTGCAAACAGTAGCAGCTTTCACACTTGTAATTTAACTTTGAACATAACAAGATGGTAGTTTTTAATTAACCGCCAGCAGACGTAGTAATTGCTGAATTGGTATTTGAAAAAAGTCAGCTATTCACTCTCTGGCACACAAATTGATTCATATAGATTTATGCAAATCTTGATATGGCTTTCCAAATCTGCACAACCTCAAGTTCAATCAGTTTTATCCAGTTGATCCTTTGATCTCCCAGAGTTGACCCTTCTGTCTACGTAACAAAATCCGCAAAAAGACAGACCCATTTGTCAAACCTTTTAACAGAGATTTTTAAATTTTGGAGTTTATTGTATCACATTTCTATCATGTTTCAAGGCTTAATACTGCAGTGAAAACAACAGCAAGATAATTATTCAGCGTAGGAGGATCTAGACCAATTTTAAATAATGACTTTGCTTTTGTTGGTGATCAGTCAATGTCCAATTAGGAAGAACACTGTATACAAGCTAGAAAAAGTCATGAATTGTTATATATAATAGGGTTGTTCTGGAATACCTAGTTTACAGTTCTCTACTTTAAAGCAATGCTTTAAAGAGAGTCACATTCTAGCACACATAGTAGGTACCTAGTAAATGTTAGTTTCCTCCTTTTCTGTGTGTTTGGGAAACTGACTTAACACTTTTAGGCCAGTGGGAAACAAACTAATGCTAGGAAGAAAAAGGACAATGCACCTCAGCACCTCAGATTTTTTTTCTTTCCTTTTTACTGGAAGCTAGCTTCGGCAGATTCTGTGACATTTGTTCCTGAGAACAGCTGTCTGTTGTTTCACCAGCTTCCCAAAAATAACCTCCAATAAAGCCCTCATCAATTTCAAGTGACACTAGACAATTGCCTAGAGGGAACACACATATGGAAGAAAAATATTCAAATGGAATCCAACTGGATGATTAATTCACTTACCCCTTCACATGGTTATCTAAAGTCTATGCAATCGAGTTGGTTACTAAAGCTGGGTGAGTTTCACCCTGAGGTTTCCACTAGCAACCAGTCCCTTTTTGCCTGTTAGATATTACGGTAATCATAATACTGACAGTGTGACATCAGTAACCCCCATAGCAACAGATTGATGTGCAAATCAGATGATTAATTGAACCTAAGTTCAAACAGAAGGAGGTACTGGTCGACTTCATAGGCACACTGCCATGATAAAATGTCAAGAGATGCGGAGAAGTTATCATTATGCACAGTAAGTAAGGAGCTGCTACCAAACCAAATGGTGTCAAGAAACCAGGAAGAGAAAGGAGAAATCAAACAAACTCAAGTGTCTAGACCACCCATTAAAAGGCCCATATTAGTAGTTGGGCAATTTGACCATATACTCCAGGGAAAATAGGAAAGTGGAAGAAACCTATATTAATTTGTTAAGGATTATTCATTTAAGAAAACAAGAAATCAGGATGGAGGGCAGATAAATAATAATACATTGCAGAAGTTTGATGGATTTGCCATTTTCAAAGCATTTTCATATCATCTCATTTCATCCTCTGGACACTTTTATAAGACAGCTGAGACAGATATTATCATCTACATTGCAAAAACCTACTTGGTGTTGCCTTATTTTGTTTAAGGAAAGATCTGTGAGACTATTAACCTGCATCTTTCAAGAAAGACTGCTTAGATTTTAAAGACGTGTGCAAGACAAAATGTAACTGTGAGAAAAAGCAATGCCTTCATTAAATTGCAGGGATAGAGGGAATGATCTGAAAGGGGTGAAGAGGACAGGGGAGCCAGGCTGCTTAGAGTCAAATCCCAGTTCTGTCATTTCCCAACTGGGTGACCTCACATCAGGTAAGTTACTAATTTCACTGTGTCTCCTCTTCTTTGTCCATAACGGGGGATAATAAAAATGGTACCTGTTTCAAAGGGCTATGTTATTCAATGAGTTATAATACATATAAAGTACTTGGCACATAGAAAGCATTATATAAATGTTTTCCATTATTCTACTCATGAGCCCTAGCCCCAGAAAGTTCCCACATCCAGTGTCTTCCTCAGGAGGCTTCATCTCATTTACACTTGCCCATGGGAGTCTATAGTTGCAGTCCTTTCCAGATTCTGGGAAAGAGCTGAACGTCTTTGGGTGGATGGTTATGAAAGCTATTGAGTCTCCCAGGCTGTGGCTCCGAGGGCTATGGCTCCACAGTTTCTGAATAGAGCATCAGTTTTCAAACAAACATGTAATGCAAACATTTACCAACATCCAAACATTGCATTCACCAAACAAAGACTTTGAAAATTGACACATTTGTTTCCATCAAAGCAAATAAATGATAGGCTTGGGTTATTAGGATGCACAAGCATTTTGTTTACATTTCCCAGAATTGCTTTCAACAAAAAAGCAGCCAGCAGGTGGAACTGCTTCCATTTAAACAGTTTGACTATTGGGATGAAACAGACATTTCTAGAATATTTTCTTGGTTAAATCTCTGGGGCTTAAAACAAGCTAGGTTGAAAAGGATTAAATCAGATGATTTTAATCAACATCTATGGGTTGAACCCTATATCATGTGCAAACTATTCTGCTTGAAATTATTCTCTTGAAAATCCACCAGCATAGTTATGATTCTATTGTCAGCATTATTCCATTTATGAATTCCTGTAGTCTGTGCTATCCTGAAATATTTGGTTTAATTGTTTGCAGCACACCATCTCCCTCAGTTTTATCTGTGCAGTCCTGAGCATTAGCTTGTTTTTTGTTTTTCACTCTCCCCATGGCTGCAAAGATATTTTATTCCATTTCTTGAGGGAAGCAAGTTTTAATTGCCAATTGACTACGTATTCAACATGATAAGGTATCTAAACCCTGAGAGCTTCCTCCTTTCATTAAAATGTAGATCCAATTTCTCTTCCCTTAATGCCACATGCTGTTATTAAACTGAAATAACGGAAATAGTAAAAGCCAGATGTCACTTCAGTCTCAGGTTTGACGTGGGGCACAATTTCCTCTCCTCAAATTTAATCTTCGAGTTATTTACTAACCCCATTCTTTGGAAGAATGCACAATTTAAATGTAAATGCAATTTACATAGGGGAGAAGATAGTAGATTTGCAGTTTCAATTGCCAATACCATTTGCAAAAGGAGAAATCAACTAAAGCAAAGATCAGCAGCTGTCAGTCTAAAGCCCGCATCACTCACCATTCTCAGATAACTTTCCTCCTGAAGCCACCTGCCTCTGAGCCTCCACTATGCAGGCAAAAGGAAGTGGAAAGCCGAGGCATTTCCCCAGACATTTCAGGTCGAATTTACTACTGACTGCAGGGAAAAGGGAGAAGTTTGGGTTTCACTGAGCTGATCTGGTTGGCATCATTGTTGAAATCATTAGCTGATCAATTTCTTTCAAAAATTATTTATTGATCATCTCCTGTGGGATAGGGGTTATGCTTGGCCTAAATCAAGGAGAGCTAGAGGAGAATACAAAGATGCAAAAGCTATAGCCCCTCTTTCAAGGAGCTCACAGTTTCCTTAAAGAGAAAAGGAAACAAATAGCTACAAAAAATAAGATAAAGTGTTAAAGGAATGCTGCAGGAGCCCAGAATCTGAACCGTAAGGGTCCAAAGGTACGTTGAAGCTGAGACTTCCAGGACGAGCAACAGTTTTCCCTATAAACAAGGGGCTGGGGACAGACATTCTAGGACGTGGTAAGCGAGATGAGAAATGAGCCAGGTTGAATAGGTGGATCCTTCCAATTTGTGAAGGATCTGGTGTGCCATGCTAAGGGCTCTGCCTTCACCTCTGGGCACACGTAGAGGTTTATAAGTAGCTCATGGTATAATTACACCTAGTTTGATATTGAGTGGAGGATGAATTGGTAAGGAACAGTCTGGAGGCTACAGGACTCCTTGGAGGTTACTACAACAGTCTAGAAAAGAGATGATGCCATTTGGGGGAGGACTAGAGAGGAAGATACACGATTCATGAATGATTTAGAAGGCAGAATAGCCACAACAGGATGGCTGATTATGTGTTTCCTCTTCACTTCACTTGCATAGGCACCATCTCAGTACAAATCTTTTGTCTCAGGCATGAGCCTGCTTACATAAGGAACCATATGGAGTTTGGTCTACACAGCACTGACACTTTAAAAATTATTCTGCACTTGTCTAGTCAACCCTTGATTATCCACACTACTTGAAGGCAGCAGCAATGCAGATAATCCGTAACTCTCTTCTGTTTGGCTTCGGAATTAATTACACCTTTTAGAGCAAATTTGCTTTCCTAATTAATCTTTCCTAGGCTAATATTAAAATTAACTAATATTCTCTGAGCCCATGCCAGCTGGGCAGGGGAAGCGGGGAGGTGGGGAGGGGGAGGACGGGGAAGTGGCTCAGGCTTAAGCTGAGCAGCAGGAGGATGCCAACGCCACATTAAAATTCACCATGGATCATCCGCAGAGCTCATGAGCCGGGTCTAGCTCGTTGAGAGGTGGCTGTATAATTAAAGACTCAAACCCCTTGGGAGTTCAGTTACTGAGCAAATACTACATACCAGGCA